TAACATTTACACCATAAAAAATTCAATAGAGTTTGTAAAAAAGGTTAAAAACATTTCTCCTAGTAATTTACTCATGGTTTCTTTTGATGTAAAATCATTATTCACCAATGTCCCAGTGGAGGGTGCATTAAGATGTCTAGAAACCAGACTTCGCGAATTTCATTTCTCTTGCATCGAAATTGATGAGCTAATTTCTCTCACTCAACTCTGTTTGAAACAAACACATTTTGTTTTCCAAAAATAAATATTACAAGCAAACTGAGGGATTAGCCATGGGAAGCCCCCTCAGTCCCATCCTGGCTGATATCTATCTACATGCATTATTATGAATCAAAATTGTTTGAAACTTTAAACTTCCCGGCATGGTTCCGCTACGTAGACGATACTTTTACCCTGTTTCAAGGTAATAAAGATGATTTAAATAAAGTTCTTTCAACAATGAATTCTATTGATCCTGCTATTCAGTTCACTTTTGAACTTGAGACTTGCAATTCTCTTCCGTTTCTCGACATTCTGGTCACACGTAACACATCCAACTTCAGTACTACAGTTTACCGTAAACCTTCATCGGTTTGCCTTCCACCACACTTTAAATCATGTCATCCGACTAAACAAAAGTTAGCTTCATTTTATTCCTATGTTTTCCGTGCTCTTCAAGTTTGCTCCTCCAAACTAGCCCTTGATGAAGAACTAAATTATTTAAAAGCAATAGCTATTGACAGGGGCTTTTCACCCAACATTATTAATCAAGCAGTTAAAAAATTCTCATCTCAACACACTAAAAGCCACACTCTTATTTTAGGAGATTATAAAAATTCTGTTGTCATTCCCTTCTTTCCATTAATTAGCTATAAATTTGCACATATTTTTCAGAAATTTAACTTTCGGGTTGTTTACTCTCCCATCAATAAAATTCCAACTTCTATACTCAAGGACCCCATTCCGGATATGAATTCCTGGGGTATTTATAGGATTCCTTGCCAGTGTGGTTTAATTTACATTGGCCAAACTAAGAGAGCCTTAAAATTTCGCGTCAAAGAACATGAGGCATATGTTAGAAAAAAGGAAACACAGAAGTCTTCTGTTGCTCAACATTGTTGGTCTGAAAATCACACTTTCAATTTTTCTGCTGCCAAAATTATTCAAAAAACATCTTCCATTGGAGAACTAGATTTTCTAGAGGCATTTCACATTCATAAAAATCTTTCTGTTCTAGTTAACGATCCTAATTCCAATCCAAATTTGCCTTCGGCTTTTAGGGAAATTTATATTTTAGTTCTGGTTTCACCAACAGATGGCGCCACTTGCATATTTCTTGTCCAGGCTTTCTTATCTTACCTAAACATTATTTCCTATCTTGTTCATTTGCGGTTTTGCAGCTGAAGATGATGGTTCGGTAAAACCATCGAAACTAGTCCTGTGAAAATTTTGTAAATATAACGCTGATTTTTGTTGTTTGACTTCTGAATTAGAATACGCAAGTTCAAAGAAAATTTTAGTAAATAGTAAAAGTAATAATTTTTAGTAAAAGTAATAGGATTATGGTAAATGATTCAAGGATATCTGCCTTATTGTTGAGGATTTTTGACAAAATTCATTCTAAGCAGGAATCTAATTGTAGGTGTTGCTGCTCCAATGCAGCCTTATTGCAGATTAATAAGTCCTGCTTTTAAGTATCAACAAACTAACATAAATATACATGGATTTCAACATCTTCATACATATATTTAAATCTATATCATCTTATGATTGTTGCTAATAGGAAAGGCTGACAAAAAAGAAATTCAGACTTCTTTATTAGAGGCAGTTAAAAGAATAAAAGCAGTTCTAGTTACTTCTTGATGCTATTTGTGTTTTTCAGTTACTAATTTAGTTTTTGTCAGCAATAATTGAATCTTCATCATTGGTAGCATATGAAATGTAAATCTATATTTTGTAATTTCCTTTAGGTATATTTTTTCGTAGAAGTCCCCACTGCTTTTAAGTGCATTTCAAAATTTAATTTAAGTTCTTTTCATTAAAAATGATATATAATCAATTTTAATTTTTCATTGTAATTAGACATTTCACTACTTATGCTGATCAGAAAGATAACATTTTATAAAACTAATTTTGTAATGCTTATTGTAAAAGGGAAAAAATGTAGGTTATTTGGTAGGTAATGTCCAATTTCTTATAAAATCGTAAACCATCAAAGATTTTTTTTTCAAACAGCTTTTTTATTTAATTGCTTATATGTTTCTCTATTTTCTACAGAGTTTTCATATTTGTTTAAACATTTGTCATAATGTTCTATAAGCTTTTGTATGCCCAAGTCATAGATGTCTGCTGTCTGTGAGGATAACTAGTCTTGAACTGCTTCTTTCACCTCATTATCTGTGGCAAAGTGCTTGCCGCTGAGAAACTTCCTTTGGGTAACAGAATGAGATAATTACTCAGCGCAAATTCTGGACTGTACCATGGGTGGTCAATTTGTTCCCATCCAAACGATCTGATTAGATTTTGGATGTAAATGGCAGAATGGGGGTCTGGCATTGTTATGCAGCAACAAAGCTCTAGATGTCAGAAGTCCACATCACTTATTCTGTATTGCACATCCAAGTTTAGTCTAGGTAGTGCAGTAAGTAGCTGCATTTAACTCGACTAACAAGACTCCATGTCTATTTTAAAACATGGTTGCCATAACCTTACGTGTTAACAGATTGTCTCCTTAGCCTTGACTGGTGAAGCTGTGTGATGCCATTCCACTGACTCATGTTTAGACTCTGGGGTCATGTGAGAAACTCGCGTCTCGTCCCCTGTGACAATCCTAAAAATTGATCCAAAAAATAAAGAGCAAAAGCTATTCTTTTCATTTGGCATTCCTCAGTAAGCAGCCTGGAAATCCAACATGCACACAATTTGTGACACTTTTGTGTAAAGTTGTCCTACCCACACTTGGAAATTCCAGTACTAAAGTTAAAATTGTAAATCAGCGGTTTTTCGAATCTTTTTGTCTGTGATCACTAATCTAATCTTTTCGTCTGTGATCACTTATAACTTCGTCTGTGTCGGCCTGATTGCACTTTATCATGTCCATTTTTAAAGCTCTTATGCACTTTGATGTCACTCATTGATTTGAGGCCAAACACATCCCTTATTTGTTGAATTCCCACTGCTGAAATGTTCCTTGCTGTCAAAAGCTAAATCACTAACCAGATTTCAGTCGATGAGTGATAAATTATTTTAAACATTTTGAACTGACACTGTACACAGCACACTGCAACAATATAAATACAAATGGTGTCAATTGATGAGCAAGGTATGGAGTCGGTACATATGCACGATATTCGATTAGCTACAGTAATTTGGACTTCCAAATAACCGTGTGTGTGTGTATATATAACATGAGAGAAATTATAGCCACTGTAAGTTATCAAACATTCACTACTTGGTTACATCCTTTTAAAAATACAAAAAATATTACAAATCATATATATTTTAAAACATATTTAATTTTGTTTCAAATTTTATGCAATATTTTGTTTGGCAATCACGAACTAAAATGTTAATTCTGTGTTTCAACTAACTCGTCAACAGATTCAATAAAATCTTTATGACAATTTATTTGTGAAGAATATTCTTATTCACTCTCATCTTAATAGATCAAAGATCAATTTAAACTGGAACTAGATAATAACCTTGCAGTGGCAATCTTAAATATAAAATAGAGAATTATTACATAAAAATACAATTTCCATGCTTCAGGCTCAGATTTTGCATTAAGACAGACATTTTATATTATTTTTAACCTATTAAATGCATTTATTATTAATTTTTTAGTACATTTCCATAAATTGTTTCCAGTTATTTTGGTAAAGCGTTTTACATTAAATGGCACATTTAACTAATGGTTAGGATGTTTTAAAAGTATACTTTTATTATAACTAGTTTTACTAACATATGATATAGGCTCTCCAAAGTAAAAGTAAACTCATTGTCACATGGCACTGACAAAAGATTGACGGGTTCTCTGGAATAATTTTTAACCTGTGTTAAATAAAGACCATCAAAATTTAAGAAATAATGAAGCTGGAAATTCACTTGCTTAACATTTTTTGTTTGTGCATTAAAATCTGATAAATTTTTCTTAATCACAAATTTCAGCAGTCAAATAGATTAACTACAAATTTTATTTTTAAAGTAATATTTTAAATGTCACATATATGAAGAAAAATGCTGGCTGTTTGGTCTAGAAGAACAAAGCATGTCTAATGACCAGACTAAAAGACGAGATACTTTCGACGCTGAGCCGAAGAACACAAACGCTAAAATTAACGTTTTACAGTTTGTAAAAGATTCTTAAAATAAACAAAATTCTGCCTTTAATTGATATTGTTTCATAGAAACGTTCTTTGCATTTCAAGAGAATATGAATCACATCCCTCGAAATTACATAATATAGGTACACAAATCTTGAACAGAGAATTCAAATTAATGTGATTTTGCATATTAAAATAAAAACTATACTTTGTATGCCATAAGAACAAAGCATATTTTGATAGCACAAAACATATCCTCTGTAACTGCAATAAGATTTAAAAAAAACCTCCATTTAAATTATGTTAGAGTATTTAAAAATGCCAAAACAATATGACTTTGAAGAGTACTATCACATTTGCTTATCCTATTATATTTGCATTTCATTTTTTTTTTTTAAATGAAAGAATATAAGTTGATATTAGGAAGAGATAGTTTAATTGATTCTACAAAAAGTTTTGCAGCATCTTTTCTATAACCTCCCCCCCCTCAAAATAAGAGATGCAAAACCATGAACATTGGATTTCAAGCAGTATGTAAAGCATAAAAAAAAAAAAGCTTGAAAGTTCTGCAGATGTAATTCAACACATTTTTCTATAATGAAATTACCATGTTGTTTATAAAAATACAACACAGTATAACACTTTTTATTTAAAAATTTTAAATGAAAAAATAAGTAAAGTAAAATAACATCTGCAACATTTTTATCTATATCAGAATAACAATTTATTTTCAAAATAATTACAAAATACACATAAATGAAGTTATAAAAGTTTTTCCCCCAACATAAATAATAATGAATAATCAATAAATTGACTAAGAATAAATGAGTATTATGCTTATTATCTAAAAGTAAATATTCCTTGGCTTGACACACATTTGTACGGTCTGCTGTGACTTCGTCCCCTGAAAAGAACGTCAGTAATTAAAAATTTTTTGTTTGTGTGCAACTCAAAATAAGCTTTATAAAATTACAATTGTGCATTAAAAATAAATAAAAATCAAATGTAATTAAAGCTGCAGAAGATTTTCAAGAACACGTTAACAGATACAATTTATTTATTTTTCTTTTCTTTTTTTAAATTACAGGTAATCCTTTTCATTGAATTTAATCTTCACTAACTTTCAGAATCTGTCGTCAATAATTATAGTAATTTTTAATAATATGGTGTATTGCACAAAACTTCTACAATTATAATAAAAGACATCAACAATAAAACAATTACTTAACACAAAATCAACCAGAAAACATGAAAAATGTTGTTAGGCAAGATTATCCAGAAAGTCAGCAGCATATGAATAAGAAATTTGAGGGGGGGGGGAACTTTCATTACAGAATATATTATCAGAATTTTTATGCCATCAACTGTATTTAAACTACAGGTTATATAATTTATATAAATTGTTCATGCAGTATGTGCATATAGTTAGCTTTAAATTTATATCTGACAGTTATATTTTCAGAAAACTACATACTTGATTTAATACTTATTATTAACCCAGATTACCCATTTAAAGTTAAATTTGGCTATATTCACTTACAATTCAAATAGCCCCACATTCTAATAACTAAACTGATGTAATTAAACATTAATTTACAGTGTTTACTAGACTTTAAAAAATCATATTTCTTGTGTTATGGGATTTTGTTTGATTATAGCAAAGCATGCAAGGGCTAGTTGCCAAATGAGAGACGATGCCTTTGTAAAGGATTTTCTAAAGGAAGCTGGCTCATATTCCTGTAACACACACAATGAAAATCATGAAAACGCTTATGTAGCCAGCAAAATCATCTCGAACTGAACCCAGGTCAAACAACCAGTGTCCAGGGACTTCACCACTGTGCCATTGCTGGACCTTATAATAGGGGGAGAAAATGCAGAAGCCTACAGTGGCAAATTCTTATTAACTAGTAAACTAAAGACAGAAATAATAGAAGTCAATTTATGCATTTAATGATCAATATATTCACCCGAGGTTAAAAAAATATGACACTGAGTTATATACAATTACAAAATACATAAATGTCAAAATGAAAAAAAAAAAAAAGTTTTTAATAATTCTATGAATATTTTTTAAAGTGTGGATTAACATATAATGCTTACCTGGCAGACCTAGCTACAACTTTTTCTCGCATAAATTCAGGTGGTCCCTCAAATGAATCACCAGAATATTCTGTCTCAAGGAAGACATCAAAGCAAACTATTAAATGATACATTTGACAAATCAACAGATTTTCCTGATATTCCTCAGGCAAAGTCTCTATAAAATGAACATTAATTTCCTCCTCTAGCTCCTATATAAAAATAAATATTCCAATCTTAGCTGTATTTATAAAAATGAATTCAAGCTGCAATTAAATGGTAAATGTTTTTAAGATTAGTTATTTGCATGCTCAGTCACCTAAAATAGTTATCATAAAAAGAAAAAATATATAACGGTTTTAATAAGTCCAGCTAGTGGAATTTCATAAAAATATTTTATATTTCTAATTAGCCATGCTAATTTCTATAAATGATTAATAATCACTTTGAGAGAAAATTTAAATACTTTAGAATAAAATTTGAAAAAAGAAAAATTCATACTGAATAAAAGGAACACATTATATACTGACTGGCACAGTATAGCATAAACATGAGAATAAAATGAAAATTAACATTAATATACAATTAACAAATTCTAGATTTGAACTTAAATAACTAAGAAATTATCTATTTTTAAAATCATCAATATAAACCACTACTGTTTCTTTAAATGCAAAACAAAATTGCCTACAAAAATATTACATAAAAGCAAAGCAAAAAATCACTTGTGATAAACAGAGTTCAGTGGTCCAAAAGATTTAGTTCTAAGTTATCATCAGATGATTAATGTTTTATTGATAACTCATACCTTTTAATTATTTATGATCACAAACACAATAACCAGACAATATCTGACAGTGATGCTTAAGATAATATTGGTATGAAATCACAGTTCCATTACCTTAGTTGCAAACATTTTAAGTTAGAAATTGAATACAGTAAGACCCCGCTTAACGCTGTTTCGGTTTAGCGCTCTTTTATTTCAACCCGGGGATTCTCCGAAATTGTGTGCAGCGCTAGGTTTCCAAATAACATATCCGAAACAGTGTAGTTGTGTTTCTTGCTTTGTGGAGTATTTTTATCATTTGAAACATTTGTTGACATTATTGTAAGTTAAATTTGGTATAATACTAAACGATTAATACAGTGACAATATTATGATCTTAGTTTTTCATGGGTGATAAAAAAAACAAGAAAAGAAAGCACCAGAAAAAGCATTTAACTGGAAACTCAAATGCAAGTGATTAGAAGATTAGATTCTGGTGAACGTCATCTCAAATTAGTGCTGCATGATTTGGCAACTTCAAACAATAAGGAACAATTCTTAGAATAAAGAAAAAATACTGTCATCGGCAACTGCAACTACGTCAAGCTCTGCAACTAGAATTACCCGCCTAGAAATAACATTATAGAGGAAATGGAAAAACGACTGTGTATATGATGACGACGAAATTGAACGCAATATGCCATTAAGCCAATCTATCATAATGCCTTCTTGACAAAAAGGCGAAAATGGAAAACCCAGAATAGACGAATGATCTGACTGAGAAATTAAAAGTATATGCGTTTATATTGTTTTATTTTGTAAGAAATAAATGTTGATTTATTTTTATTAAAAAAACAACATTAAATTTAATGCCTAACCATTTTTTATCCATCTTCCCCTAACCCCATTATTTACATGTTAAGATAGCCTCGCTTAGCGCTGTCTCGCATTACGCTCTACTTCGATGGAACGTATCCCCCGCGTTAAGAGGGGTCTTACTGTACAATATAATATATATTCTATTCAATTTCTATTATGTTTCGATACTACGATCCATTAACAGCTAGTATTTCTGATATAAATTTATTATTTGCATATATTAGCCAGTGCAAAAGTTTTAAGAAAATAATATAAAAACATTTTTGTATGAAATTAAGTTATTTTGTTGCTTTCTAACTATTCATTTTCTGCATTAGTATTATTTTTTATTTGAATACACCATTTTCAAAACATTTAATCTATTTAGAAATAGTATAGCAGAAATCCATTATTTATGAAATTCCATTACTTTTCTGGGCTGTAAAATCAGTGATCATGTGATTTATACTTTGTTGTTGGGAACAATAAAACACTGCGAAATGTTTAATCAGGGAAAAAGAACAATAATTCATCAGATCAATTTTTTAGTGCTTCAAATAACTGATAGATTGAAATACAGTTTATTTGACTAATGCAATGCTTTGCACTTTTTTTGTGGAGTTTAGTTACTTTATTGAAAAAACAAACTGTTGTATACCAATCTGCCTTTTCTGTTTTGCGATTGCTTAAAGAAACAATTCAAGCACAGTCAGATTAAAAAAAAAAAAGAGGGGGGGGGAGATCCCATTTTATTTTTTAAGCACTTTATGCGAAAACAATTTTCATAGTATTTGGTTCATTTTTAATAGACCCAGACCGAAGACATTTCAGGTTTGTAGGATATATCTATATTTTATCACTTGCTTTAATGCCAAAGACAACATTTGAAATTTTCCATGCAATAGTTAACATGAGTATCTTTATCAATTTTCAGTTGAATTGTGTGGATTTAAAATAATCATGCAAAACTGAATACCCTTAAGCTTTATAAATGCTAAAAAATGCCTCAATTTCTTCATACATGATGTGAGAATCTGAAGTGGTCATTTGCTGCACAACATCATGCATTTTGACACCGCAGTAGTTCTACGTTGATCTTCATTATTTAGACTCTACACCCACAGCAGAATTTTTTAAAAAGTTGCAATTTAATGCTTTGCATCATAATTTCCTTTGTCCTTTTTTCTCAAGTTTATTTGCTCAGCTCCTCCTATCTTTGCAGAAAAGATGTGGATGTACTTTGAATGTAACATGTAAAAAAACACTGAAAATGCATTAAAAAAATTTAGGTATTTATTGCACTTGCACTGCATTAAATTATTAATTATAGTTCCTTGGAGCAGGGAATTAAACTGACAGTTTGCGAGTTCTGATCCTTTAGAAAAGAAAAATGAAAACTACATCTAAATTAAACCAAACTCTATGAAGGATAAACTGATATAATTTGGTATAATTCTTGTACAGATGCATGATTATAATATTTGTGAAATTAGGTGAATATTTAAATGTTTCTTTAAAAAAAAATTAGAAAAGCAGAATTTCTAACTGTGTTCTTACTGCTCACTTTTACTTTTCAATGACCCTTTAATGCTTCTCAGACCAGTATTAAAATCCATACCTTCTCAGGACTCATACTGAGAACTTTATCATCAAATATTGAAATAATTGGATCAACACACTATTGCTGAGTCAAACTTTACCAAAAGTCATCATAAATCACAGGTTAAAAATTCCTTCAACTTAATCTACATTTCATTTCGATCTTATTAACATTTAACAACAACTTAATAGAATTTTACTCCATTTCTTATTGTTTAATGGCCAATGTTAAAGAATGTCCCTCCCCTAAAAAATTAAAAGCTGTTATTTTCATAAATTGCTAAATATTAAACATTTAATACAGTCAAAAGTCGTTAATCCGGACTCGTCGGGACTTCGGCGATTCCGGATTATAGATCATCAGTTTAAATTTCGTAAGATGGCATGCAGAAATTCTAAAATTAAAAATATGAAACCGTAATTTATGAAATAAAGAACAATTATGATGTAAAGGGTATCAAAATTTACAAAAAAAAAAAAGCTTAATATTTATTTGTTTACTTTATTAAACATTTCTTTCAATGTAAGTTGTTTCGTTTATGTGATATACTTTCTCTTTAATTCTATAAACTGACATAATTTCTTGTTCAGTTACAAAGTTCCACTGTTCAAGGTCCTGTAAGTTATTGTGTCGAGAATACCGACTAACTTGTCAATTCGAAATTTTTTCGTTTCACTAACCTCTCTGTCACATTCTTCATGTCTTTATCCATTTTTGCAGCAATTCCACTTTCTGTTTGTTGGACAATCGAAACATATTTTCGTTTGTAGATCCTTTGGAAGTTCCAGCATCGGAAATTCTATTTGACATAATCGAAAGTTCAAGTTTACTTTTAAAATTGCTCTTACAGTCTGCAAAAATAATAAGCGGATCCAATTCGAAGATTAAGAACATGCAATCATTAACATTAACTGAAATAGATAATTAGATAATTTTAGCTTACACCGTCCGTTATACACTAAACGCGCAGGCGAAAACGTATTCTGCGCTTGCGCACACACATATGCGCAGTAGTCAAGGTCTTATGCGCACGCGTAAAACGCCTGTGTGCATGTGCCAACGCGGCGCATGCGCAGAAAGTTTTTAGCTTTGAGGTCCGGATTATAGATCATTCCGGATTATGGGTGTCCGAATTAATGACTTTTGACTGTACTAGCTTTTGTAAAGTAATTTCTTGAATGAAACAAAAACTGTTTTCTCTTTACTTTAGAACTTCTTTATATTATTTTTCTAATATGAGTACGATATGAAATGAACTATGTTTTCCACTGAAATAATCTAAATAATAGTAATACATTATACAGTACAAAGTCTGAGATCCGGACTTGTCGGGACTTCGGCGATGCTGGAAATTATAAAATTAAAAATATGAAATTGTGATTTATGAAATAATGAAGCATTTATGATCTAAAGGGTATCAAAATTTATCAAAAAAAGCTTAATATTTATTTGTTTACTTTATTAAACATTTCTTTGAATGTAAATGATTTAAGTTGCTTCGTTTTTTTGTGCTACTTTCTCTTCAATTCTATAGATAGACAGAATCTCTTGTTTAGTTACAAAATTCCCCTGTTCAAGTCCTGAAGTTGCTGTTTCGAGAATTCCGACTAACTTGTCAATCAAAATTTTTTCATTTTCAATAACCTCCCTGTCACTTTCTTCACTATCGGTATTTTCTGGAACTAAAACCATACTGCAGATTTCGCCATCCATTAACTGACTGATGGTTGGAACATTGTCATCGCAATTAAAAACTTTGTTATATTATTTTCATTTATTTCCGCTTCTCCACATTTCTCTGCAAAATCCATTAACTGGAAAACTTAACCTGTGGTTTGCGATATCCGAAAGCCTTCAAATTCGCGACTATCATCTTCATTATCCTCACCACGAAATATGGTAGCTGGCCATAAACTATGCCAAGCATTTTTTAAAGTATCTGGAGGCACATCCTCCCACAATCTTGCAATACTCCACTCAGCAGGTTT